CCACCTTCAACCTATGCCCATTGGGTCTCAGATGTCTTTTTTTGGCTGGAAATAGGGAACAACTTTTGCACGGCAAACATTTTAATTGAAGCTTATAAAATTCTTACATCTCTAAATTCTATAAACCTAGAAAACAATAATACACTCAAATCTGTATTTTTCTGAATTCCAAAAATTGCGTTATTTGGGAAAACCCAACCCTTAGTGAGAAATGGCTTCCAAAGAATGCAAGTATTGGAAAATTGTGTGCAAAAGTAGATTGTACAGCATAAGGAAAAAATGGACAAAATTCATGCAAATTTTTATGCAGACCCTCTTGAAAATTCATAAACGGGAGGAAACCAGGCAAAATAACCTTAACACTGGGGAAATAAACAGCTAAGCTAAATGGAAGTTGTCAGATTCTCTCATTACGACTCTATGACTCTTTTTCAAAGCCTTCGGGAATAAATTAAAATACAAACTTAATTTTCAAATATGAATGAACTGGAAATAACAAAGGTCTAGCACACCAACCAAATCATGGTTAAATAAGAAATCTGAATCATGTAAGGGCCATTAATATACAAATTGCAGGTCATGGATAGGTCATCATTGCAAAGGAATAGTCAAGATGGAAATTCCGTGAGGCTTTGCCTGCAGGGATTTCTTGATTTTGGCACACAACAATCCTGAATCCTTTCTGCAGAGTTGCAATACGGTTGAGATAATGGCCCTAGCTACATGCATGCATACACACATAACATTCAGAGTTGCAACCAATGAACCAAATTAAAGCAAAGCTGCAGAGTAAGAGAGACACACCAGTGACTTTAGGGTATCTTTCTCCATTTGACAATGGATTTCATCAGGGAAGAACAGGTGTGTTCCACACAGGCAATTTGTTCGGCCTACTGGGAGTTTACACACGGATGCCTTCAAATCAGGGCTGCTGCTTAGACATGACGCGAGGCTGGTGGGAGAAGAGAACTGCAGCCATCTCTCCTTCCTTGCCCCTCATTTTGTAATACAGGTAGTCCTCGATTTACAACCATTCATTTCGGGACCGTTTGAAGTTACTACAGCAATGAAAAAAGCGACCTAGGGCCAGTTCCCCACACTTACGACCGTTGCAGCGTCCCCATGGTCACGGGATCAAAATTCAAAGGCTTGGCATTTTGAATTTTCACCTTTTGTGACCTTCTGAACAAGCAAAATCAACGGGGAAGCCAGATTCACTTAACAACCATGTTACTAACTTATCAACGGCAGTGATTCCCTTAATAACTGTGGCAAGAAAGGTCGCAAAACGGGGCAAAACTCACTTAGCTACTGTCCTGCTTAGCAATGGAAATTTGAGGCTCAATTATGGTCGTAAGTTGAGGACTGCCTGTATATTAAAAGCTGGTATGTTTTCAAGTGCCAGCTATTATAATAGCGATCATGCATCTGTTATTGCTTGATTTCAAGATGGTTAACTCTATCAAAATGCCCAAAGAACTACTGGCTTCAGTCTCAGGACCTCCCTCCACTCCTGTCAGATAACTGGTACAGTCCTAGGACCTTTTTGTCTCCCCCCCCAAAGATAATTCTTAGACCTGACCATTTAATTTTAAAATCATCACTGCTAACTTCAGGAAATTATGACGAAATCTACACTGCTATAAGGGTGGTCAGTAGAAGTACATATGAAACAGAAAACATGTCTCGTCCTATGCATGGATCTAATACATTCTGCCTTGGAAAGCAGGTTGCCTTAGCAGGAAGGATGTGATGTTGAATTTTGATTGCCTCTCTAAAGGACGTCTGTTTCCGAAAGGGTTAAGAATTGTTAATAAGGAGACAGATTGGCTGGAGGGGGCGGGGAGGAGAGAAGGCAATTAATCCAATTAGTAGGTTGGAGAAATTCAGAATTTCACATCTACTCCTCATAGGCCTTATGCAGATATACATTTGTGAACTTTTTGACATTTGTGAATTTTTGCGCTTGACTCCTGCAAAAATAGAATCACGATCCAAACAAGCTTCACTTGGGTTAGCAATAACCATGGTTTTTTAAAAAAATTGATTTATATGCCGCCCTTCTCCGGAGACTCAGGGCGGCTTACAATGCGTTAAGCAATAGCCTTCATACTTTTGTATATTTATACAAAGTCAGCTTATTGCCCGCACAAACTGGGTCCTCAATTTACCTACCTTAGAAAGGATGGAAGGCTGAGTCAACCTTGAGCCTGGTGAGATTCAAACTTACAGTAATTGCAGACAGCTGGTGTTAATCACAATGCTATCAGTCTGCTGAGCCACCAGGCCCCTGTTTTGTTGCCTTCACCCTAAGGTAAGTCTTTCAATGTATTGTGGAAACTATGGTTTAGCTTGGCTCTGCCCAGTTTGTTGCTCGCACTAAAGAATGATAGGCAAAGATACAAATTTGTTAGTTCTCAGTCAGAGGGGGAAAGAAGCTACCTTACCTGTGGGGATTTTTTAAAAAAGTATGTTTAACTATGGTTGGCATTCATTGGCTCATCTACACAAAATGCTATTTGGTTGGCAGCTGACTTTCCAGGATCAATTAACCTATCTATTGCTTCCCCCGCCCCCACATGCTGTGTAAATGAACACGCTCTTGATGTTTCAACACACAATGGTTAACAAATCCTGGCTTAGCATTAAGTCAGGAAACAGCCAATGTAATCCTAGGCACGAGCAAAACCCAACATTCTAGGATCTTGGCCAGAACACACCCCAACAGCTTCCGGTTCAGAGGATTAAGTTCCAGAAAAATATGCCAGGCCATCCCAGGGCAGCAAGATTGGCATTCAGGAGAAAGATGCAATGGTTCTTTTGCGTACCCCTCTGCCCTACAAATCACTAACATGTCTCAGCTGGTGGCCAAACACGAACATGTGGATATTTCAGGGTCTGGTTGAAGGAACACAAAGGGTTTCCCCCCTCACTGTGGCATTTGGAAGAAAAATGGGATTTTCAAAACCAATCATTCTATTAAGTATATAATTCCTAGCAAGGGAACAGAGGAGGAAAGATAACATGTTGAGATTAAAGGCAGTTGGGAGGGAGGAGCGGAAGACTGTGAACCGATTAAAACCCATTGTCCAGGATGCACACCAGTTACAATGCTGGCTAGATTAGCAAGCTTAGCCCTGAAAAGGAGTTAATTGCTAGAAATAATTACTTGAAAGAGATCTACTCAGGCGGTTTGGTTTCCTTCCTAACAGTTAAATAATTCCCACCAACCCCTTTGCTTTTCTCCCTTACCGTTGATTAATTCACAAATGCTCTCAGGAGGTGTGGGGGAGGGGGATCCGTTAAGAGTACCTCAAAAATGTGAGCCATGTGGCTTTATATGTACAAACACCCCTTCCAAAGGAGAATATCTGGGTTGAAATGAGGGATCCTTGGTGGCTCAGTGGCTAAAACACTGAGCTTGTCGATCAGAAAGGTTGGCAGTTTGGTGGTTCGAATCCCTAGTGTAGGTCTCCTGCGTGAGCAGGGGGTTGGACTAGATGACCTCCAAGTTCCTGTCCAACTCTGTTACTGTTAACCTTGGTGCTGTATGAACTTGGTTGTTTTCTTGCAGGCATTTCATTACACAAACTAGGTACAGGTATTCCTCGACTTACAACAGTTTGTTTAGTGACCGTTCAAAGTTACAACAGCACTGAAAAATGTGACTTACGACCATTTTTCACAGTTGTGACCTTTGCAGCATCCTCCTGGGCATGTGAGCAGAATTCAGATGCTTGGCAACTGACTCGTATTTATGACTGTTGCAAGTGTCCCAACGGTCATGCGATCCCATTTTGCGACCTTCTGAGAAGCAAAGTCAACGGGGGAAGCCAGATTCACTTAACAACCGTGTTACTAACTTTACAACTGCAGTGATTCATTTAACAACTTTGGCAAGGAAGTTCGTAAAATGGGGCAAAACTCACTCAACAAATGTCTCACCTAGCAACATAAATGTTGGGCTCAATTGTGGTCGTAATTCGAGGACTATCTGCCACGTCATCACTGTTGATGATGTTACCTAGTCTGGGTAATGAAACAACTGTAAGAAAACAACCAGACTCAGACAGCACCAAGGACCCCTCACCTTCAGAAATGGCCTTGCAAGAAAAGCGATGCTGCTGGTTCCATTTAACTGGGGGCAGCCAGAAAAATTCAGTGTTAAAGAGCCCTGCAATAATTCCTATGAACGTAAGGATTCTCTTGGTTCTGAGCAAGATCGACATTTCCCCTTCTTCCCCACAAGGGAATCAGGAAATGGTGATGGCTGAGAGACAAGTCACACAAAGACTAATAACCAAGGTCAGGGGTCTGCAACCTTAAATTCTCAAAGAGCCATTTGGACCCGTTTCCCACAGAAAAGAAAACACCGGGAGCCACAAAACCTGGGTGGGTGTGGCCAACTTGATGTCACTCACTTCCACCGGTCACATGACACCCCCCTAGCCACGCCTACCCAGCCGGTCATTAGGGTAGAGAACCAGTTGTTAAAAAACACCGGGAACCACAAAATCCTTTTGACATATCTCTCTCTCCCCTCCCTCCCTCCCTCCCCCCCCCTCTGTATCTCTCTATGTCTCTCTCTCCCCTGCTGTTTCTGTATCTCTCTGTCTCTGCCCTGGCCGCGTCTCCATCCCCCACCATTTCCCTTACCTTCTCAGGCCAGGTGAAGAGTGACTGGGAGGGGAGGGCAAGGGACGGGGCCAGCCAGTGGTGGGATCACTTGGCAGGGAGCCACAGTAGAGGGCCCAAAGAGCCATATGTGGCTCTGGAGCCATAGGTTACTGACCCCTGACCAAGGTGGTCAACAAAGCATCATCAGAAGGCTGATGAGATGACCAGGAAGAAAGCAGGTTACGTTCTGCTATCATCTCCCTTTCTACTAAAATCAAACAGGACCAGTCCCATCAAATACAGCAGTCATCTTGTTGGTGGGTAGAGTTCCAGGTGAGCAAAATTTTACAATGTCAAGACTTGCTCCAAGCAGGGACACTTACCTACTATTCCAGACCCCAGGAATGATGACGAAGATATGCTGTTATGGGATGGCAGGTCCCTGTGTTCACTGTAGTGTGAACCTTCGCCATAACCCTGCTATAAGGGGGGAAAAAATTAGTATCCGTAGTCATGAAGCACATTGCCTACCCACTCCTATCTCAATCCACAAGATTATGGGTATCCCAGAACCATTTCCAAATCAAAATACACCTTTACAATTCAATTTAGTTGGATCGTATAAAGGCCAGCTATCTTGGAATGGATCAAATCAACTCCAACTGACTAGCAAACTGTTTCTATATACCCAGGATGGCAAAACTATGGCACGTGTGCCACAGGTGGCACATGGAGCCAGATTGGTGGGCACGTGAGCATTGTCCTAGTTCAGCTGCAGCACACCTGCACGCGCCAGCCAGCTGATTTTTTGGGCCTTCTGGGCCCACCGGAAGTTGGGAAACAGGCTGTTTCCGGCCTCCGGAGGGCCTCTGGGGAGGTGGGGAAGGCCATTTTCGCCCTCCCCAGGCGAAAGAAAGCCTCTGGAGCCTGGGGAGGGCGAAAAACAGGCCTACCAGGCCATCATGTGCCAAAAGCGGGGGGGAGCAAGCGCATGCGCGGGGGGGCGCATTGCATTAGGGGTGTGGCCACATGTGCATGCGACCCTCCCTCGCGTCCCCCCCGCTTTTGGCACACGATGGCAAAAAGGTTAGCTATCACTGCTACATACTCTCATTTTTCATTTTCCCCCTCCTGTTCAATCATGCCCGATTCTCAAAGACTGCCTGGACAAGTCCCTGAAGTTTCTTGGCAAGGTTTTTCAGAAGTGTTTTGCCATTGCCTCTTTCCTATGCTGAGAGAGGATGATTGGCCCAAGGTCAACCAGTTGGCTTTTTGCCCAAGGCGCGAGACTAGGATTCACGATCTCCTGGTTTCTAGCCTGATGCCTTACACCAGACTGGGTCTCGGCTGAAGTGGTGCACAAGTTAAATAAGTCAACACACTTCCCTTAAGCCATGCTGCTTCAGGGTTATGGAGGGAAGTGAGGAAATCACAAAGCCTCAGCACATACAGAAAGCCTCCATCATAAAAGACGGAATCCACCTCAGAGTTAGATGGGTGGCTTCTAAATTCCATAAGTAAATAAATATGGTACTCTCCAGAACAGGGAAGGTTCTGGAAAAACCATTCTCTTCACCTGCTATTATCGTGGGAAAGAAAATAAGTCAAACATAGTTCAAAAAGATGGATGATTAATGTTGGAAGGAAGACAGATCAGACTCAAAAACAAGATGACCAAACAATTCACTGAGATAGCTAAGCAGAACCTTAATCTCGTGGACAATCTCTTAGTGTATATCAGCCATTCCATTAGGTTCCATGGAATAAACCTCATCTTTGTTAAAATACCAATTCCTTCAGGCTCTGTTTTTCTCTCAACTACTTCCATTCCAGATGATCATTTTATGATCTGAACTTAACTTGAACTGCAATAGAACTTTAAGAATTGATTCGTAAGCCTGTCATTTCCTCTTCCTTCTTCATCTCTTTTTTTTTCCTGTATTAGACTATAAGCTGAATGAGAAGCACCGATTTTACATTATTATATGTAAGCAGGTCTGGGAGATTTAGGAGCAAGGTAAAGAATATCTTTGAAATATGATCCCATTAAGCATATACAAGCAAGAAAGTTGTTGTTTTCACCTCATGCTTATGGATTGATTTCCTATAGGACATATGACAGGATGCTCTCAGAAAATAATTCCTTAAAATTAAAGATTTGATTTCTCAAAATTAAATAGCTCAGCAAGAATTAGGGTGAGAGGAAAGCTATTTTTCCTACATTTTCAAGAAAAAGGGAATTCGGGTAGTTCACTTTCCCATCTCAAAAGACACATGTGTGGACAAACCCCCAAAGATCCATTTGGATCTTGCAATGAACAGATCTTCCCGATCCTTACCCTGACTTGGTCAAACGTGGAGTTGTTCTGATCTCCTGTTGCCCAAGAACCTGAAGTCGGTCGCTCATCCAAACCTTTCGGAGAAAGAGGGGGAGAAAAAACAAAGATTACTTTGATCTACAGGATCTTCAAAGGACAGACTCTCTCAAAGTTAACTCTTCCTTTCACAAATACAAAAATATTTGGATGAAAATCCCAAACCAACACTGACTTTTCCTGTTTTGCAAATTTTCCACACAGATTCAGCTTCAAAGGAGCCTCAGTTGATATGTTTGGCAAAATTGTGAGAGGGCAAATTTTATTTAATATGTGTAACACCTCAAGGGAGTTGTAACACATACCACTTACCTTTCCCAAAAGCTGCTTTGGCTAGAGGAACATTACAGGAAAGGAGGTGGGAAAATTCAGTATGCTCAAATTATGAAGGGGGGTGGATGGGAAGGAGACAGCTAATGGAACCAATTATTTTCTTTCTTAGCCAAAGCTAATTGGTCCACCATTTACATTCTAGAAGAAATTATAAGTGGTCCAGAATGAGACATATTGGCAGCACCACCTTGGCACTGCCATCTTGCCATAGCTGTGTCACCACAGCCATCTCAGCGTGGCCATCTTGGTGCCGTCATCTTAACACAGGACAAATCACCATGGGAAACTCGCCATGAGACAACTCGGTGTGACACCTCCCTTCGTCAATCACAATGTCGGAACAGGCCGTGTCTCCAGATCTGGGTCCAGCCTCCAGCAGGATGGCAATCTGTCCCACACTGAGATGGTGGCGCTGAGGTAGCCGTGCCGAGGTGGACATGGCAAGATGGCCATGGCAAGATGGCCGCACTGATGTGGCCGTGCCGAGATGTCACAGACCCTTGTTATCATCAAGAAGGACCTTCCTCTTTTGTTGATATCTCCATCCCATTTCACCACTGACTAAACTTTATTTGCATCCAGATAGGAAATGAGGTCCCCAAAAAGCAAACCACCTTCCCCAGAAGTCTGAAGAAATATTGCAGCAAAATAGACCTCTTTATTTCTCATCCACATAGAGATTTAATTCCTTGTGTTTGTTATGGAAGTAGCAGCACAGCTGCAGATTACAGATTCTGGGAAATGGCTATGGACATCCGCTTGGGAGAAGCTTGCTAGATCTCGCTGTAGTATTATATACATTCACGAACGCTATGAATGGTCCATTCCAATTGAAAATTCGGGGAATTTTAGCCCTGATTCATCTTGAGGCTGCCAAGTTGGGGAAGGTCCAACTCAAATACTGACAAAGTACAAGAAGAATCAAGAATGTACTCCTGGCTTCCCTGCAGAGGAAGATGGCTTAAGATGAGCTAACTGCCTTTTGAAAAAGCTATTCCACTATTTTTTCTCTCCTTAGATAGACTAGAGCAACCCCTCCTTCTCAAGCTGCCAAGTGTTTTTGAATGAGAACAGGGTGAATTCTGCAAATATATATAAATAAATAAACGAAGTCCCTACAAAATAGGATGGCAATTCTATGCTGGTCTCCTCCCATTGAACAGCTTCAGGCATTTTTTAACAGGTCAGAAGACCATTTTACTGCTATTGTAGGAGATGACCAGGCTGAACTCCAGGGAGGGGGTCAAACGTGTTATCAGTCTCGAATCCTTTCCTACTCACAAGAGATCTAAATCCAGCCCCGCCTTGAATTCCATTGACTCTTATCTACCGCCAATGTGCTTTAGTAGCTCAGATTCTTGTAGAAAGCTTTAGCATACAATAAACCTGTATATTCCTTTGAACTGCCTGGATTTCCTTAGCTTCATCTCTGCTCTGATATGATTGCAAATCAAACATGTCTGGAATAAGACCGTCCCCTTCCATGTCCAAAATATTACGGGCAGGGAACGTTTTATGTGTACAATGGGTATTTTTCGTTTCCAATAGGATGTTTCCTCTCCTTGACTAATGCCAGTATTAGAGATCTGGAAATCAGCCAAGACCAAGATGGCAAACCAGCTTCATTTGGAGACAGTGTCCATCTTAGAACGATTCCTTTAATTTCATCTCATGCTCAGATAGTAACTACAGCTCTATCATCACAAGGAGGCTTTGAAGTCCAACTCTACTATGTTTGTATACGTGTATTTTTTTAAAAGCATATTATTATGAGAAACACACCATCTTTTTCTCTCCTTCCCTCTCCCTACTGTTCATTTAACCAGAAATTTCTTTCAAAATTACATGCTTCCATTCCGAAGCCTTTTGTGTTAATCATTTCCCCGGAGAATTGGTGTTTAATTGCTGTCTAATTTGCATAATTATGCATATTAATCTCCACTCCTAATGAATATTCATAACTCTCATTTAGAGTTTGTTTTCTAATAAAAAAAAAATCCAATGTGATTACATTGCAGGATTGAGGCTGGCGGTGGAAGTAAGATGCTTAATGCAACTACGAAAAACACCAAAGTGCTACCTATTCTTCTCAAGGCTGGCAATACTGCAAATTTTGCTCTGCTGATGTTTTATTTCTTCCTTTCCATCCTGCTCTTTCAGAATGATATCAGCTGTGTTTTCTGGAACTGGTGGGGGGGATCAAACCGAAGTACGTTCCAGACAGATGCACACAAAATTTAAAAGGTAGGAAAGGTGGTAACGTTCAAAGACTGTTTACAAAATTAACAGAATAACCAAGCTGGAAGGGACCTTGGAGGTCTTCTAGTCCAACCCTCTGCTCAAGTAAGAGACCCTATATCATTCCAGACAAATGGTTGTCCAATCTCTTCTTAAAAACGTCCACAACTTTTGGAGGCAAGCCATTCCATTGATTAATTGTTCTGTCAAGAAATTTCTCTTTATTTCTAGGTTGATTTTCTACTTGATTAGTTTCCATCCATTGCTTCTGGTTCTACCTTCAGGTGCTTTGGAAAATAAGTTGATTCCCTGTTTTTTGTTGCAGCCCCTCAAATAGCAATAGCAATAGCACTTAGACATATACCGCTTCATAGTGCTTTTACAGCCCTCTCTAAACAGTTTACAGAGTTAGCATTTTGCCCCCAACAATCTGGGTCCTCATTTTACTGACCTCTGAAGAATGGAAGGCTGAGTCAACCTTGAGCCAGTGAGAATCGAACTGCCGGCAGTCGGCAGAACTAACCTGCAATACTGCATTCTAACCACTGCGCCACCACAGCTTTTCCAAATATAATATATAATATAATTAATATTATATAATATAATATAATTAATATAATATAAAGTTTATTGTCATTGTACATATATACACAGTATACCCATACAACGAAATTCACATAACACCCAGAGACAAAGCCCAATACATATGACAATCACCAGACACACCCCCACCCACCAAATATTCCCCACCCCTAAACCATCCACACAGCAGACCAAGTAATGCTGTCCAACAGCTCATTGATGGTGGCCCTTTAGTTCATTGTTGAGTGCAATTATAGCTCTGGGATAAAAACTATTCAGAAGACGTTCTGAATATTGGAAGTCTGCTCTTGTGTTTCCCCTAGTCCTTTTCATTGAACTAGACATACCCAATTTCTTATTTTTCCACCTGTCCAGATCTTCTGTTAGGATTCTGCCCCAAGGAGTTGCAAAGCTCATGGCACAGGGAGGAAATACAGAAATAAGAAGGGAAGGAGGAGTTGGGATCCATGTCCCTTTTCTGGAAGAGACCTATAATCAACCAGTGTGTTCAAATGAAGTACTCAAGCTTAAAAGCAATGTAATTGAAATAAGTAAGGAAACACAAGAGGCAATGTTTAAAAAGAACACAAAAACCCATTTTTATATTCACTTAAGGCTTTTTTAAAGTGAAAAGTACTCAGAAGCTATCTAGGGTTCTGTAAAGAGAAGAGGCCAAATCTTGTTTTTGAATCAATGGAGATGCTTTATGAATCCAAGTCAAGGTAATATGACTGACTTTCCCACCTTGGGAATGTGTATTTGTTAAATTTAGATATCCAAATACCTAAATTTAGATATCCATCTCAATATCCAAATATCAATCTGCCTCTGCAAAGCATAAAGGTAATTGAAAGTAGGCAGATGACCAGGTAATACAGGAGCATATCTATTAAAGGCCAAGGTTTCACACTCCCACTAAATTTTCCACAATGGATAACTTTTCTTTTCATTTCATTACTATAAATCATTCTTCCCGAAGCCACCTCAAGGTCTTAGGAAGCCACAAATAACATGGATGCACCAAATTGGCAAAGCCAAACCTAAAAGATCATCTCAAATAAATTCAGAACCACTTGGCTGTTTCTCCTTACAATAAATACATTATATATTAAATGCATAGTTCTTGACCTATGACCAGAGGTTGCTCATCATGGTTGTAAATCATGATGGTCGCAAAACAATTTTACAACCTTTTTTGCAGCGGTCATAGGAGAATCCACAATAATTACATGAACACCATGGTCGTTAAGCGAACCAAAGATTTACTATGGGCACAGTTCCGCTGAAAATTAGAAGTGCTGACATGACTGCGGTGTGTGTGTGTGTGTTGGTCCCATTTTCTGGGTGTATCGTGACTTTGAATGATCACTAAGCAACTGGTTGTAAGTCGAGAACAAATGAAATCTTTAGTTCTGCCTTAAATGGTGTCATTTCCATTTCTGAAGATAGCTACCAATCTTGAAAGTGTAAAATATTCAAATATTTGAAATATTCAAATTTCACACTTCATAAGGCGTTCACCAGCTGAAAGAGATGGTTTGTCCAATTAAACTGGAACCTGCAAACTCAGTTCTGTTCAAAAAGATTCGATGTTTTGCTGAGCCTTTCCATTTTTTTAGAAAAAAAAGAGAAGAAACATCTTCCCTTGTGCTATGGGACCAATGGGGAAATGCTCACAAAGAGCCCTCCAAGCTCCAAAATAGACTAAAAACATAGGTAGTGCTAGGTACGCTCTATGCAGCCACATATATATGCACATTGTATCTTCATGCAATTTAATATTTAATGCAATAATGCAATACAATGCAACACACACACAATGTCTTCATGCATTTTTTGCAGTTACAGAAGCTTTCCCCAGCCTCTTAGGTTTATTTTACTACAC